CGTAATTAATTCGCGGGCCCGGCTTCCCAGCCCAGCAAAGCACGCAGCGCGCGGCCTCTTTAGCGGCCTTATTCTGCGGAGCGAGGGGCGCTCGGGGAGGCTTAATTAATTAATTAATTCCAGGGATGATGGGGACCGGCAAATAGCTCGGGGAGTGCCGTGAGGGCGCTTGTCACCCCCGGGACGGTCAGAGCTCCCGACGCCCCAGGCAAGCTGGCAGAGCCGGGGGGTGGGGGCCCACCGCACCCCTGGGGGGAGAATGCTCCAAAGGCAGGGGCCGCGGCAGAGAAGGCTTCTCTCCTGGGCTCCGCAGCCAACGTCCGCAGCGTGCCCTCCCTGCCCGACTGGGTGGGACGGGTCGATACAATGGGGTGAGACTCAGGGAACCCGGTCCCATGCCGTGTAGGGCTTTAAAGGTGAAAACCAACACCTTGAATTGGACCCAGAAGCAAACGGGGACCCAATGCAGCTCACGCAGCAAAGGGGTTACCTGTGCCATCCATGGGGCACCTAAAATTGCCCGTGCGGCTGCATTTTGAACCAGCTGAAGCTTCTGGATACCCTTCAAGGGTGGCCCCACGTAGAGCGCATTGCAGTAGTTTAACCGAGAGATGACCAGGGTATGAGTGACTGACCAGAGAGCCTCCTGATCCAAGAAAGGGCATAACTGGCGCATCACACAAAGGGGGGCAAAGGCCCTTCTGGCCACGACTGCCACCTGCTCCTTGAGCAGGAGTCATGAGGCCAGGAGGATTCCCATATTATGCTCCGGGTCTGTTTGGGGCAGCGCAACCCCGTCCAAAACCAAAGATGGTAAGGTCTTGGATACAGAGGGGCCTCCAATCTGCAGCCATTGTCTTACCAGAGTTCAGCTGAAACCTGTTGCGCCCCATCTGTGGGTCTGCCCCACAGCCTCCAGGCACTGTGGAAGGGTGGTTACGGCATCACTCAAGTCACCCGGGATGGAGATGTATAACTGGGTATCATCTGCATATTGATAATGCCTCATCCCATGGTGGCGGATGATCTCACCCAGCGGTTTCATGTAGATGTTGAAAAGGAGCGGAGAGCGGAGAACTGAACCCTGCGGCACCCCACAATGGAAGGGCCGTGGGCTGGACCTCTCACTCCTGATCAACACCGATTGGGATTGACCTCGGAGGAAGGAAGAGAACTAGTGCAAGACTGCACTGCCCGTTCCCAATTCCCTAAGTCCACCCAAAAGAATACCATGGTCGATGGTATCGAAAGCCGCTGAGAGGTCAAGAACGGCAAGGGTGGATGTGCTACCCCCATCCCGCTCCTGCCAGAGATCATCCATGAGTGCGACCCATGCCGTTTCCGTCCGGAATCCGGGCCTGAAACCCGACTGAAAAGGGTCCAGATAATCCGTTTCCTCCAGGATCCTCTGGAGCTGCAACACCGTCTGACTCCCAGCGACTCCTAAGTTTGGGGTTTCATTTCAGTCAGGCAAAATCATTGAGGAAGAAGGAACGATGACCTGAATTGCACCCACCCCTCACTCCCCGTGTTCAGCAGCAGTCTACCTCTGAATAGCCCTTGGTTGGGGGCAACCAGCTGCCGGGCTGGTCTCTGCTCCGGCAGGGTGCATACAATCTAGAGAGGTGGTAGGGCCCAAAGCAGCTTCCCTTCGAGTGGAAGCTCATTTCTTCTGATACTACTGCTTGGTTGGTAGATTGCATGGTGCACCCTGACGCATGGAAACATACCAGCTTCACGCAGAGGGCGGGTGGCCTGAGTGTGAAGGAAGGAGGCAGAAGAGGAAATCAGGTTGGTTTTGCAGCCCTGTGCTGCTCTTGCTGAAGCCTTCCCTTCCCTTCCGTCTTTGCAGGTTTTTGCCCAACTATCAAGTGTAGAAATGAAGCTGATTATCTTGAGGCTGAAGGGTTGCTGGGGGGCGGGAATCTGTTCTAAGGGGTTCTTAAAATGATCCCATGGCGAAGAGGTTGGGGCTCCCCATTTCTGAGAGCTATAAGTCCCATTCTGCTCAGAGGGCTGATTTCTGTAGGACTGGCCTATTAGAAACCGGCCCCATTCCAAAAGCCTTGCAGAACTGCTTCCTAGTCCGGAGTTTGCTAGATTTCTGGGCCAGGGAAAGGCCAGGAAATTTATAATTCTGGTTCTCTTTCTGCTTCATTGGTTTGTACTTTTAAAAATACTGCCCTGCTGTGAACGATCATCATGGTTTCTTTGGAATTTCTTTTGAAGAGGAGGATAACCACCAGCCTGGGTTTCTCCCTTGGGCCCTGGCCCTCGAGCGGTGTTCTGCCACCCTAAGACTATCCTCGTGTGAGACCAGCTTCTTCCCCTCCTTGAGAGTTCTGACTTCAGGGTGTTTCTGGGCTAAGTACGTGGGCGAAACTCGGCCTCCTTCCATTCGTGTAGAACTCCTGCCTGGAAAAGGGCAGCCGCTTCCTTAGCGCTTGCAGGGAAGCTGGCCTCCGTGGCCTGGTCAGGAGCTGCAACTCGCAATGACTCGTGAGACGGTTATCAACTCTGCTGAGCATGAAACGCTCAGTCCCTGAGAAAGCAGGGCAGGATGAGGCCAACTTTTCTCTTTGTTCTGGCTTCTTGTGACAGATGGTGCCGCAGGCAGACGCTATGCTGAGACTTCGGCTTTTGACCTGGGATGTCAAGGACACGCTGCTTCGGCTCCGTCTCCCTGTGGGCGAGAGCTACTCTGCCGAGGCCCAGGCCTTTGGCCTCCAGGTGCCGGCTGAGGTGCTCAACCGCTCGTTTTCCCAGGCCTACAAATCCCAGAACCAGCGTTTTCCCAACTATGGCCTGGGCCAGGGCCTCAGCTCCAAGCAGTGGTGGCTTGGGGTTGTCTTGGAGACCTTCCGACTTGCCGGAGTTCATGACAGCAGTGTTCTCCGGCTCGTTGCTGAAAAGCTCTACCGGGATTATAGCAGCCCTAAGAACTGGGAACTGCTCCCGGGTGCCAGTGAGACGCTCCGGTGGTGCCAGCAACTGGGTATCCCCATGGCAGTGGTCTCCAACTCTGACCGGAGGGTACAAGAGATTCTGAGCCAGTGCAACCTTCGGCAATACTTCCAATTCGTCTTGACCTCGGAAGAAGTGGGGTTTGCCAAGCCAGACAAGCGGATTTTTCTGAAAGCCCTCCACAGTGCGAAGGTGGAGCCCCAGCTGGCTGCTCACGTGGGAGACCATTACGTGAATGACTACCTGGCTGCAAGGAAGGCTGGACTGCACAGCTTCCTGTTTAAAATGGCTGAGGAGCCGATTGAGAGTGACATGGAGGTGCCAGAAAACCACCTCCTACCTTCACTTTCAGATCTACGGGGGCGGATAGAGAAAGGCTAAAGGAAGTGGCTGGATTTCAGCAGTTGTATCTAGGGGAGGAAAGAGCATTTTTAACAAATGTTAACATTAACCAAATTAAGTTCAATAAAACCTACATCCCTGCTTGTAAGAGTCTGCGGCATCACTGGCCCAGGTTTCTTGTCTTGAAGGGTGGGGTTGGGGCAAGACCAGAGAAATGGGCCTGCAAGTTTAACCAATATGGAATTATAACTACAGGCTGATAAGAAATTGCTTTGGGGAACCAAAGGAATTTTAACACATGCACATATGCACTTCTCCTCCACTCAATTTCTGCCAATGCAGAAATGAAAATGCAACAGGCACATAGAGTGGAAGAACTTCATTGATTTGGAATATTCCAGAGCCCTCTTGCCTATTCCAGGTGACGTTTACAGACTAAATTTGCAGTTGCAATTGATTTGTGAAAGATTCCTTGATGTTTTGTTACATGGAACTTTTCTATCCCATCTGTTCTCCAAGCAACCCAGGACGTACATCTGCTAGCAATACGGTAAGGCGAGTCACCTTTTTTGTTAAGCCATCCTAGGGTCAGAGTCACATTCCGGGTTGCAATACACAGTTGTACCCTAATGCCAGATCATGAGAACACAGACCCCTTCCTTCACCTTCCCAGAGTTGCTCTCACACCAGGGAAATGCTTTGATCGGCCATAGCCATGACTGGGTAGACGGGGGCAGCAAAGGTTTCTTGGTGCATGTGGAGAACAGCGCAGGAGTCGGGGTCATAGAACACAAGCTCGCCTTTGTGCAAGTCAACCAGGACCGCGATTTCTGCAGGGCACTTGAGCAACTTCATGGTCAGGTGCTGATCATTGTGTGAGAACTGGAACTCCTGATCATAGCGGGAAGAGATCCAGGAGGAGAGATTGTGGCCCAGGCGGGCTTCGGGGCCAGCCCCCTTACGCTGTAGTGAGTTGTAGGAGATGCCCAGTTTGTACGCGCAGCTCTTACATTGACTTGCCACGTGTGGATACCTGCACAGAAAGATTCCTCAGCCAGGGCATTGGGCCAATGATTGAAGCAAGCAGGGCCATCTGTTCTCTGGGCCATCTTGGGGCTGAAGGTCAGTGTCCTCCTGTTGTTGGAGAGGGCCAAGAAGGGGCCCTCATCAATGTGAACGTCATCTGTGCTGGTGGGTGCAGCAAACTGGTCATTGGGAAAATTCCAGGCAGAGTCGGGGTAAGGTGATACTTTGAACCTAGGGTGTGTAAGATCAAACCACCTTATTGAAGGCATTTGTCAGCCATGAGTTTGATCAATGCACTGAGTAACCAGCTGGAACAGCACATACCTACTGCCACATTCCACCCCCACCCGCCTCACTGACCTGAGGCCCAGCAGAGAACAGCTGGAGCCCAGAGCCGTCTTGCCAGCGGACTGTGGATGCACTGTGGATGGAAGCTTAACTCCTTTGATTCATGGGGCCTCAGGATCCCCTCGGCTTCCTCAGCCCTGTGCAACACAAAATCAGAGGCAATGGTGAGTCCTGGGGGACGTGGCCTGGTACCCTAATAGTGCAGCTTTTCTGACTGGTTGCTGTCTACAATGCCCATTATCCCCAGGAAATGGCACCAGGTTGGGGAAGGATGACTGCCTGTTTCCTGTTTCTGAGGCAGGTTCCCCTGATGGCCGGGGGGTGGGGTGGTCGGGGGGGTGAACTGGCACTTAGGGTTTATTCCTGGCAAGGATGCTGTTACGTGAATGAGCGCAAGAGGGCGTGTACGTTCCCCAATCGCACGGCTGCCTCTCTGGCAGGCCTCTCCATTTGGGGAAAACAGCCAGCTCGGCGCCTGGGACGGTGGCTGCTGGGGCAAGACCTCCCCGTGCGTGTGTGCGGACACAGAGCCCCCTTTGTGATCCTCAGGCGTGAAGCTTGTGAGGTGTTACGGTGGGAGTAGAAGGAGATATTTTTAACTCCCAGGGGGTGATGAATTCGGTTGCTTTTAAAAGGAGATTTCATGGAGGACCAAGGTCAACTGCTCCCAGCCAGGGTCAGTTCTTGGGGAACAGAAGCAAGGGAGGGCCTTTCTTGGCCTCAGGTCTATTGGGGAGGGTTCTAAGCCTCTGCCAAACTTGTCAGCCGCTGGGACCAAGGAGCTCCCTGTTCCGGTCCTCACCTCAGGGAGATCCGTCCCTCGGTCTCCGCTTGCTTCCTGTGGGTGAGGGTGCTCTTCCCATCAGTGCTACCTCTGTGCTGGGAGGTGGGGCAGCGAGCTCTTGGATGCCCACCCCCACTGGGGAAGGGAGTTGGCCGCCGGGTTGGAGGGGCAGGCGGGCCGGTCCCCTTGCCGCCTTTCCAGCGTGGTGTGCCTGCGCCCGTGCCCTGCTACTCCTTGCCTTTTCTCTGGCTCTGCTCTCCCCTGCCTAAAAGAGGGCAGGCTTTGGGGGTGACGATGGGGCAGACTGCCCTGCTGGGGTTCATAAGAAAAGAAAGCCAGGGAGGTGCCCTGGATAAGAGGCTGGAGTAGGTGTGAGGGTTAGAGTGGGTGGGCGGTGGCCTCCCGGCCTCTCTTGTCCTCGGCTGTGCCGGATCCAAGTTTCTCTTTCTAGGCTGTGACCGTGGGCAGCTGGTGCTCTGGCGCTGCGGTTAGGAGGTTCTCGGGTCACGAGCGTGGAGCTACTAAGGTAAATTGCTCTCCAGCTGCACAATGGTTGTGTTTCTCCCACCCCCAAGCTTGCTATGGGAGCTATTAATCAGGATGCCATGAGAGAACATGCGGTGGGAGGAGGATTTATCCGAGCGGAGTGCTTTGCGTATTCCTAGACTTGGATTCCACTCCTGGCTGACCTCCCAGAGCTATGAGAGAATCAAGTAGAAAGGGTCTCTTTCTGATGTTTCTGGGATTATAGCCACGGTCCCTCTCAGAAAGGGCGATGGCCGGCTACCTCTGAACTGTCTGCCGTTTCTCTTCTGCCCAGGTGTGCCGCCTCCCTGACTCCAGCTGGCTTTTCAGTGCCTCTCGAAACAAGACGGCGCTGATGGGGACCTCCGCGGTGGTTCTGAGGCAGCCCGGTGCTTCTCGGGGCATCGTCTGGTAGTGACTGGCTTGGCTGTCAGCTCAGGTGAGTTGACTCCCATCACCAGCTTCTGGTTCCCACCGCAGAGCCCCCTTCGGGGTGCTTCCTTCTCGGCTTTTTCTCTTCTCCAGTCTTCCAGAAGCTCTGCACTGGCTCTCGTGACAACACTGTGTCTGTGGGACATGGAGACTGGGCAGTTTGTCCAGGGTGTGCATTTCCAGGAATCTGGTAAGAGCGAGTGGCCCTTCGAAAGATGGACCCGCTACATGCTCCCCTTTCAAAGGAAGCCGCGATACGCAGAGCCAAAGAAGAGAGGTGGGGGGAGGAAAGAAGGAAGGTAAGGCAGCTAACTCAGAGCCGCTGCTCTCTGTCCTGAACGGCCCTCTTGGCTCCCACTGCATCCGTACACTGTTTGCTGCGCTGCCTTCTGACCTTTCGCCTCCTCGCTTCTCTCTCCTGGAGAATCTCTTCAAGTCCATCCAGTCACGCCTTCCTCTTTCTTCTTCCCTGTGTGACCGAGCCAGCTCGGCGCACTTCCTTTGCCCTGGTCACTCACTTTTGTATTCAATCCACGTTCTTCCTCTGAAGTTGCTCCAGCTCGTCACTGTCCAGAAGTGGATACGGAACTCTGAACAGGGCCTGACCAGGGCAGGGCAGAGTGGAAAAATCACTCCCTGCCATCTGGACTCTGTGCTTCTGGTAACGCACCCCAGGACAGTGTGGCTTTCGAGCAGCCGCCTTGTGCTGATGGCTCGTGTTTAACTCGTGGTCGGCAAGGACGCTCGAGCCCCTTTCATGTCCAGCTCTCCCCCACCCTAGACTTGTGCCTTCGACACTCCCTGCCTGGACACAGAGTTTTGTTTCTTCCTGTTAAATTCCATCCTATTGATTTCAGCTCGCTGCTCAAGCCTGACTAAATCTTGTGTCTTTTTTTGTATAAAGTATTAGACATCCCCCCAGGTTCATGCCAACTGCTACTTTGAAGTGTAAGAACAGCAGGATACAAATGTTTGCAAATAAATAAAATACGATATTTTACATCACTGATAAAAATGTTGAACAGGCAGAGCCCTGCGGTGCTCCACATGATACTTCCCTCCAAGGTGATGTGGGGCTGTTAATGTTAACGCACACTCTAAAAATACCGTTACTGTCAAATGTTGGAAGGTGAAGGTATAATTTCTCTGCCTGTAAAATTATTCGGCAGAGGATCAAAGGTCTGGATTTATTTAGTGCAGCAAGTACCTCTCTGTTGGAACTTAAAGGATCTATTTTGCATTGTCCTAAACAAGCCCTTTGCTGTTGATAATAATAATAATAATAATAATAATAATAATTATTATTATTATTATTATTTATTAAACGTATGCCGCCTCAGTGACTCTGGGCAGCTTGCAACGATCAAACAAAGAAATTGCAATAAAATCAGTAATACATTGAAGATAAAAATGGCAAGCATGTTGAAGCGAGGGCTCTTGCTCTCCCTCGCCACAGTCCCGGGTGAAGAGGCTGGTCTTCACAGCTCTCCTAAGCAACAACAGAGTCGGGGCCATTCAGATCTTGGGGGAAACATTAATACAGAGGGCAGTCACTGCTACAGAGAAGATGTGCTTCCAGGGTCCCAACAGGTGATATTGTTTATTTGAAGGAATCCAGAGCACGCCAGTCCTGCAGGATTGAATTGGCTGAATAGATGTTATGGGAGACAGGTGGTCCTCAAGTAATCAGGCCCTGTGACTGCTTATGCCATCCACGCCTGCATCATTTTTGTGGCATGTGCTGCTGATGGCGCAGATATCTGCTGCATCTCGTGAGGCAAGCTGCTTGAAGAACATCAGCAGCCGGGCCACGTGTAGACCTTTCCCATCTAGACCCTCTTTAGAAGCCGATAGGAAGCATCGTGGAGAGCTATTATTTTTGCTGTTCCCCGGCAAAATACTCAGAACTAGGTTTAAACGTGGAAGGTCTCATTTGCTGCTGCTCATTTGCCGGCAACAGCCATCGCTTCACACGATTGCGCAGGGAAGGTGTGGAGACAAGACACTGGAGGTAAAGTCGGTTTGGGCACCACCA